AAATAATTATCTGAATCTTACAACCAAAGTTTTTATCTGACGTAAAATGTATAGAAATCATACATATACCAACAAGACAGTGTGCATCACTGTCACAGCCTTTGCTTTCATTCAAAGGCTTTATGGCTTTTCCTATAATACCTGGTGGGCCGATCTCTAGCCAAATGCCCGGGCCAATATTTTGTCCCAGTCCAGCCCACGACACTCAGTGAATTAATCTGAGAAGGTGCATTAAAAAAATAAATGGCCGCGCCATCACTACCTGACAAGTTTAACTGTCTTCAGAACATTGCAGAGGCCTTATTGACAGTACTTGGCTCAACATATCTGTGTAAGCAGATTTTCTCTCACATGAGTGTCCTCAGGTAGCCGTCTGAATACTGGACACTCGGAGACCTGTGTCTCTGAGTGGGAGGCCAGAGATCAGATTAACATGTGTATCTTTGTATTAACAAACATGCCATATTGGCTGAGTTTGTTTTTCTTATCATTGTTGTGAGGAGACCATAAATAGCATTTGCATTTTGTGTTGTATAGTTCATTTGCTGTTATGGAGTTCTTGTTATGGATAAAAAGTGTATTTTTTAAAAAACAAAAAATCTGATAACTATTCGCTGATAGCTGCAAACATCTGCGAACAAATATAATTCTATAAAGTTGTTCTATATAGTGTTTAACTGTTAATATAGATTGTTATTAAATTTAATGCTAATGCAATCATATGGCACATTGACTTCTGAGGAAATTTTAGATGGCACTCATCATCAAAAAGGTTGCCTACCCCTGATCTACACCCATAAAATTAGACAATCCTTTTGATATGGAGAAAAAACAGAAAAGAGAAAAAGCAGAGATCTCCTGCCAGCATTCCCCTTCACTTTCCTTTCTTGGTTACAAGTGAAGGGAAAGACATGTGTGGGTCTCACTCAGGATATTAGTGTAAGCGAGTGAGGTGGACAGAAATACAGAAAGAGAAAGAGAGAAGTGTTAAGAAACTCAAAGTGCCAAAAAACAAAACTAAAAAAGGCAAATTTCAATTTTACTTATACAGCACCAAACCCTAATTGAGATTTTTGGGCCAAGTACCATAACGTCAGACTCATCTGAATTTAGAAGAAGGAAATTAGAAGTCATGCAGGTCTTTATGTCTGCAAGACATTCATGCAGTTTGACTACTTGTTATGTGTTTTCTGGCTTCATGGATAGATGGAGCTGGATATCATGTGCATAGCAATCAAAATGTATGTTGAATGATACAGGTAACACTGCAACCAGATATGAAGATTATCATGTATAAGCTACCTTTGTGCAGAATTTTCAGCCTTAGTTTCAAAAAACCGAAACAGTTATCGTACATCTTTGAGTAATCAAGAATTCCCAACTTTGAATACTGTGAGTAAAATCTAGACACATGAGTAAAAACCTCTAAATTGCCTGTGAATGTTGTAAACTGAAAATAGTCATCATGTTTGGTGTGACTATGAACACCAAAATAACAAAATCAGTTTACAGTTGTTTTGTCCTTTCTGCACATTAGCCACAAAATTAACGCTATTGCTGTTTGTTAAAACTCTTAAAACTCTGCTTTCATTTGTGCACTTTTATAATTGCTCAAAGCTTTGTATAGTTGACATAGTGTGCGAGGGACTGAGCTGGTTAAGCACGAGGACACACTTAGTATTTAGAAAAAAGTGGTCTTTATTTACCCCTAAAAATGCAAAAATATACTAAATAAACTAGCAATACAGTGCCCATAAAAGAGGTCAAATCACTAGAACTAAACACAAATAAAAACAGCAACTTAAAATATCTCCATCTTAAGACCAGGTGGACACATGACGGGAACACGAACACTAGCAAATTAACCAACACCAAGCAAACAAAGCAACACTTCACTTCAAACAGGCCCATGCCCCTCCCCTGTTTTAAATGCATTTTAGAACAGTACGCACCAACACCACATATGAGCAGGTAGAGAGAGGTATGGGATCTTCACACACCCCTGTTCTCTATTGTGGTGCCTGGACCTGGGAGTATAGAGTATGTATGGGGAG